ATAAACATTGGAAACCAACGGATCTAAATTGCACAACCCTGAAGATGGCTCGAGTAGATGTTTTCACCTCGTGGGTGTGTTTTAGTTTGAAGTTTGGTCCACACTTGAGACACTGAGTCAGGATATCTTTGCCTTGGCTGCTTTTTGCCTGTTTTTTTTTTAAATCATCTGTTTCTTGTGAGTGCAATACCACATGACTGGAGTACCCCTTGAAGCTTAACTACTGTTATAAAGGCCACACCACTTGGACTATTCCAACTCCCCTCTAAGAGTGGTATGTTCCTTCGCCCCAGTAGTTAATGAAGGCCACAAGAGTTTTTTCTGAGTTCTAGTAGTTAGGCCAATTAAGCAACCACACAGGAGTTATTTGTGGGGTCAGATCAGTCTCAATAATTGCAAATGCACACAGATTCACAAATGCGCACAGAACAATTCACAAATATATTCGATTTACAAATGCACGCAGAACGATTCACAAATACATTCCAATGCACACATAAATAAATTACGATTTATATAAATGTAAAAAAAAAATCACATATATTTCTGCATTTGTATGTATTTCTGTGTGGATTTTTCTATTTGTTTGTGGATTTGTATGTATTTGTTTGTTCCATATTCATGTTCTCCTCCACACCTGGCACACCTCTTTCCTTTGCACACGTTTGCCACATGCCCAAATTCTTGGCAGTTGAAACATCTCATGGGTTTTGGCGTATATTCCCTTACTTTGTATTTAACAAATCCAAAAGTTCCACTGGAATGTCTTTTACATCAAACTCTACCACAATTGTTTCAGTTTCCCTTTTCTCTACTCCTCTTGTCATTCTCTTAGCTCTCTTAACTGCTCTGTTACGTATTCTCAAGTTCTCAACCAGATCCTAATACTAACACTCAGAGGCACTCCAGATATCACTCCCCTGCCGCCATTGGGCCTCTGCTCTCCCACTTTCACAACTTTAAGCACCTTGATTTTTCCAACCATGTCAAGCGTCTTTGCCTTATCTATTTGTGCATCACTGTTGCATCCAATTAAGAGATTTCCATCTCCCAATATCCTTGCATACTTCACTTCTCCGACTTGTGCTCTAATTATTTTGGTCAGTTTTAATGGGTCTATTTTCTTTACTCCTCCTTATAGTATCACTACATTTAGCATTTTGCCTTTGGCTCTCCAACTTCCTCTTCCTTTTCTTCACTCTGTTTCACCCAAACTTGTTTCATTCTTTTTCTTTCTCTTGCGATACGCCGACTTCTTCCCTGCTTCTTTCCACTCACTCTCCTTCCCACTTCTTGTCTCTTCCTCACTTAACTCCATGCTATCACTAAACCCTTCTTTCCCTGCCAGGAATTCCTGCAAGGAATACGTGTAAGAATACCGTTCTGGACCTATACAGGCTGTCGATTGGTTCTCGCAGAGTATTCCCACAGCCAAGTCCAGATGTCTGCAAATCCAAAGTCAAATTCCTTTAACTTAAATATTTGTCCAAAACAACCTCTCCCCTCAGTAACCAAACTCGAGCCACATCTCCACCTTTTTCTCTCCCTTTGTTGTTTTGAAGAGAGACGCAAAGCAAGACAGGTGACCCGAAAGTAACACTATTTCAAAATAAAAATCAAGGCAGTAGAATGACCGTATGCAAGACATTTTTATTTACAGTCCATGATGTATTGTTTGAAAAAAATAAACCAGGTCTGGCAACAGTATTGGGAGCAGGAGATGAACAGGAGACACCTTTATTCCTTACAAAGCAGAGTGGGTAGTAGCCTACAGTAAAGGGAGGGAGGAACAGCTAACGTTGGCCTGATTGAGAATGGGACAGACATATCTGAACAGCCTTCTATTCATCATAACAGGGTTATGGGAGCAGTGCCAGCAGACAGAGAAAGTGCAGCTACTGATGTCATGATACGGGCCAAACAAAGACCCTGCAAAACTTACCCTACTTCTTCCCAATCTATTTTTCACGTCACGTGACTTTGCATATTGTCCCATCATATAAACTGTTTGAAAAGCAATGATAATGCAACTGTGGGACGTTATCACAGTGGCAGTCATTGCTATGGGGGTCCTCAGTTTCCCTCTCTGTCTCCTCAGCAGGATCATTTGTAGTGATGAAGAAATTAGTTTTTTAGATTAGTCAGTAACCTAAAGCAATGCCTTTGCAAAAACCTTATTCTTATAAGGTCATTTTCAGTTATATGTTTACATTGATGATATTTCACATTTCCATACTGGTAAACTAATTTAAATATGTAATTTGTATCATTTTAGATTATATACGTCAGGTTGTGATAATTACATAATATATTGCTGTGTTCAATGAACATCATAACAAAAGTAAAAAGGCCATTTGAAAGTACTGAAAAATCAGTGCATATGATTTTATTTTTGCATATATTTTCAAGGCCTTGTTTGCCATTTTGAACCTATTGTAGGGCCGAGAATCAAATCCAAATATTTGATCAATGATTCAAATTAAAACGTTCAAACTGAATTTTGTAAAAACATCATACAGGTCCACAGAATGGTCTTGCCTGCAGAGCTGAAAAAGGCTTTTGTCCATTATTAATACAAGTCCAAAAGCAATCAAACTAAATTAAATACTGTCTTCTCAAAGTGACCCATATTTATAGCTGTAGTGAAAAGTCATCTTACTCAGCTAGTGCTCATGGTTTATTCACATACCGCAACTTCCCTGATGCCAGTATTTACTGGTGTTTACCAGAATAACATTAACCAAGAAGACTCAGTGCACACAGCTTGACCATAGAAACACGCAGGTAGGGGAGAGCGGGGTTGGTTTTGTATGGACACCAAATGACCTTAAATAGTAATGAAAATAATTTGCTCACTGAACAGATTCAGGTGTTTGCTAACAATTTATTGAGTTCGTTAGAGCCCAACCCAAACGTAAAAGGCACAATTTTATTAAATATACAAGGAGTGCATTTCCCCATAATTCTGCCTATTCTGGACGGTTGGGACACCATGTTCTGGGCTTCCAAAATATCATTTTAATTGAAACATTTGCTGTCTAAACTTGAACACCTTCTATTTACAATGTCTCCTGTTTACAGATTTCTTTGAGAAAAATAAAACCGAGTCAAAAATCAAATTGTATACCATACTTCTTTCTGACTATAGCTAAAACTGTCCCCATGTTCCCACCGACCACTCTACCCGGCTAGAAAACATTGCTGACAAACAAGGAGCGAATCTGCCAAAGTTGCAGAGGAGGAACATTTTCTTCATTGTTCAGATTGTGTGAACTAAACATTGTCCGAGGGAGGAGGGTGTGATCTTGAGGGACAGTTTGTTTCTGCCTTCCATTGCTTGAGGGAAACTGACTGACCAGCATTTGTATCCTTTTGTTGCTTTATTTGTAATGTTTCTTATATTCTACATAGTTAAACATTACTCATCAAATGACCAGGTTAGTGAAAAGCTTCACATAGGGATGGACCGAGGGAATTTGGACTCATAACCTCAGTATTTCTAAAGTTGACGTTTTGTGTGGATGAATTGTGTTTCTCTTTCCAACATCTCTTGTTTCCTATTTGGCTTTACACTGAACTTCATGCTGAACAGGCCAGAGATTGCATTGAGCCTCTTGAAGTACCGACTTGCTTGGGATTCGTCCTGTATTCTGCACAGCTGTTTGGCTGGAGGGGAGCCACCTGTAGGGACAGAAAGTGGAAATAAACTCACTGTTACTCCAAGAAACAAAAGAGCGGATGGGAGGGAAATGGGGGAGATTGCAAAGAAATGCTTTTTGAGACATTAGGATGTAATAGTTTGAGTAATGAAAAAGTTCTTCTGACCTCTTTTCCCAACTGAACACTATACTGGACATAACTCAGGGTCTTGCTGTCCTGGTCCTGGTTTGGGATGTTGGTCCGGCTTTTTGATGCCGAAATAAAATTGAGACCAGTGATGAGACAACAGTGCAGCTTCCAGTTGTTTCAGACATATTATATGAGACAGAGTTGATGCTAAGATTGGTACTTTTAGCTAAGTAAAGGATCTAATCCATAAAAGTATAGTGACCAATACCACAGTACTCCATGTCACGCATATAAAAACCTGTCAATAAAAGTACATCAGCTCAATGTAGTACTTTAAGTACTGAGTAGTGAGTATCATGTAACAATATTAGTATACGGCTACAACTAATTATTTTCATGATTGATTCATCTGACAATTATTGTCTTGAACACTTTTATTTTAATCTATAAAATATCAGAAAATATGAAAAAAAACCATCACAATGCTCTAATTTTGTAATATTTAAATGTTCTAAACAGTCTAACAAGAATAAGATGCGGCAGTAAAACTTTACAACTGAAAAGTTGGAAACAAAATGTTGACATTTTTGCTTGAAAGATGATTTACTGGATGAAAACAATTAATGGATTATCAATTTCTAGTGATCGACTAATTGATTAATTCACTTATTATTTCAGCTCTGATTAATACTGATGCATCAATGTACATTTTACTGTTGCTGGTGTAGGTGAAGTCTATTTGGACTAGTTTAAATTCATAGTTTAGTCCAGTGGTTCCTAAAATAGGCCCCTCCTATATATTAGGGTCTGTGAGATTATTATTAGGACAAAATGATTTTGCACAAATCTGTGCAAAATCATCTTTTGGACATTTTAAGTGGCCCAACTAGAGAATGGTCTTTTGAGGGGTCACAAACCTGAGATGTTAGGACCCACTGGTTACATTTTTAACATTGCATTGTATTTTATAAACTTATCCATGTTTTCTCTGTGAAATCTTAATCTGAAATGTAAGTAAAACTGTCAAATAAACAAAGAGCAGTAAAAGCTACATTTCTCTTTCGAATTCAGTGGAATAAAAGTATAGATTAGCATTAAGGGGGAAAAATAAAAATGAAGACACATTCTACCAGTGCATGTTAGCGATAACTACAACAGCTACACATTTGTTATTTTACTCCCCACCTCTTTCCATCACATTCTGTTTCTGTTCGTCTCTCTGATTTCTTTGATTTTCTCCCTCTCTTCTTCATCCCTCACATTCAATTCTTCTCCATCTCATCATTTTCTTACTCTAATTTCCTGATCTCTTGTCCTCGGTGAGTTTGTCGCCCTCTGTCTCTCCTTCCAGGCTCTTCTGCCTCTGACTTTGCTCTTCTCTTTGTTTCCTTCTCTTTGTCTTGCCCAGTCTTCTGCAGCATTAGTTGCTAAAATGCCAGACCTTTCTGCCCTCTTACCCTTTCTTTTCGTTTTCATTCAGAAGGCCAATCTACCAACATTGTTGTTTAGATGTAAACAACTGTAAAATTCTGTGGCTAAAATATTGATAAAATATTATAAAGTATGAATACAATATTATAAAAAATAAATATTATAAAATATGGATAAAATAATCCCATTGAGACAGTTAAGGTTGCCAGATTTGTGTGCAGACTCATGTGCTAAGATTAACGCAAAGAGGAAGACCACTCTTTCATTTGCTAAATAAGGAACCGTATTCAGCATTCTCAATGCTCCTGATTCAAACCAGGGTCACCCCGAATGCTCGGTGTACCTGCAGCTCCAGCAACATGAAAACAACTTGTAAAGCTTTTTGTTGAAATGAGAAACTTTATGCTAAGTTATGACTAAACTCAGCTAATATTTATTATTTCTTTTTTTTGTGATGGTGACAAGAATAGACCCTTTTCACAGCAGCCATTTTGACTTGTTAAAGCAGGAAAAGCACAGGTGGAAGCATGATTGATGGCTACGTTCCATTTAGGTTAGCCAGCTCCAGGGTTCTGTATATTGTGCATGTTCACTCACTACCAAGGCCTACTGGGCCACTTGAGGGAATAGAGCTATCCTTAATGTTTGTTAAATCTTTTCTTTTCCTGCTTTGACAAGTCAAAATGGCGGCTGTCAAAAGGGTTTCTGCAATAATCCATCGACATCATTTAAATTCCCATGATTCAACGGCAACTTTTTTTTTTTTTACTAGAAAGAAGATAATGGACAATATCGTAGAGTGTGAAACAAATTCAGTGAATAGAAGATACAGAAATGTCGAACGATGTAACTGCCACACGATCACACGATGACCACAGATGGGGGAGGGTGGAGGAAGCCGTTGTCCGCAAAGATTAAGAAAAGGCACATTTCTTTTTTTTACACTGCTTTAAAATATAGCTATATAGAGTCTATGAATAAAGCACATAGAATATGTAACTTTTGTAATGATGATTACGAATTACTACGACAATGACTATAACTTCCACACGCGGCACTAAATGATTACTCACCTGTAGAGGCAGACAGCTGTAGTGATTACACATAGAAGAAATCCAATTGCAGCTGTGATGTATAGAGAATACCACAGTGGACTGATTTCTGCACAAAATCAGATTAGTGAATTAATTTAAGTACAGTATCAGYTTTGAAATGTGCTGCGTCTGGTGTAGAGATGAATAGCCGTGTTTTGTGCTCCACCTACCTTCGTGTTCCACAGTCACATTTAAATTCCACTCAATAGCCCTTGTACGTTCTATGCCATTTAAAAAACATCTGTAGGTTCCTGCATCGTCATGCTGAACATTAGCAATATTCATCTTTGAAGGTAAGCTTTTGTCTATTGTTATTTTGTGAGAAGTGAAATTTGAAAAAGTATTATTAAGTAAGATTGAAAACACAAAAACAGATCTGCCTCTGGTCCATTTGATTTGCGTTACATTTCTCTCGGATATGTTGCAGGTGAAGATGACGGAGTCTCCCCTGGACACCAGCTCATCCCTGTGCTCAACTGGATCAATCTCTAACATTGGAGGAAACAACCAATCAATACAAATATAATCTATAATTACATTTACACAATTGGCATGCATAACAATCACAAATATTCACTGTACCTGCAAAGACTTGGCACATAACTAATAGTTGAATGGAGAGAAGAGCTGCTTGGTCTCGGTTGAACATGACCATCAGACTGACAAAGACTGACTGAAAGTTCAGCATCACGTCTGAAATGTATTTGAGGAAGAGGCACAGAGAAAAGGAAGTGCTTATTTCCTGGTTAGTTAGATGGTTTGTCTGCTCAGAACTTAGTTACGTGTTGTAAGTTTGAGGAGCAAAGAAACATTAATTCACATGAGAGTCATACAATTGGAACATTGAGAATTGAAACTCACTCCTTCCTGAAAATAAACTTTAATAAATATATCGTTAGTAATCACTTTTCTTATTTCCTTTTCCTCAGTCATGTCATGAACAGAATATAAATATGTGGAAAACCACTTCTGCGAAGTGCTAAACACATTTTAGCCACATAGTGTCCGTAAACTTTTGAGTGCAACTTCACAAGTGACTGATGCTAGTAACCATAACCATAACCAGGTCTTGATAATGAGACTCTTATGGTGCACAATATGATATAAAACAACAAATATTGTACTGCGGTATAATGGTGTGAAAACCTCAGGTGTTAAGCATGAATAGACCTTCACACAGAGACAATCACAGAAGACATTTTGACAGGCCACAGTAGGATAAGCACGGGTGTGAATAATAAAATTCTTTGTGCAGAATTTGTGTAGAACATGAGCCGGGTAGGTGCTCTGCTCCACTTCACCTTGAAGAGAAAGGTTGAAGAAAACTTTCTATCACTCATCTGTGAATGCTAAGAGAAGATAGTACTGTACCAGATTAGACTTCAAATATGATTTAACAAACAACAAATAACAAATAACCTAATTGACTTGAAATACCATGCCTGTTAACCTGCAGACCCCATCAAGATTCATCTATTTAATAAGAACACACACGCAAAGGCTTTGGAGCTGTATAAGATGGCTTCCATTTCCTTTAATTCTGCCCTCTGTCTGAATGTCAAACAGGAACAGGAAACTCACACCGATCAAAGGTGTCAGGGGTAGACAGGTGTCATATGATTAACGATACACTTCAAATGGATACAGCACTCTGGATGGATCACAAATATGCCACAAGCCTGTCACTCATGCAATCTGGCTTTTATAAGGTTTGGTTTTCCATTCAGATTGTTGTTTTGATTGCCCGGAAGTGCTACATTAAGCATGATAAAGGCCAGGCCATGCATTTTCCAGGCTCTTCAAAGCAGAGTTGATTATGTATGGGGGACAGAGAAACTGTGGTGAATAAAGAGTCAAAAGCTGACGAGGCTTTGAAGCAGTGAATGGTGAGGAAGTGATTTAGTTGTATGCAACAGCAGAGGCTGCTGTAATTTTCTCTTTCCGACTTCCTACTCCTCCTCACATCAACAAAGCGGTAGGACAGCATGCAAAGAAAGTGTGTGTGTGTGTGTGTGTGTGTGTTTGTGTGTACCTACAAGGTACAAAAATTATCACATGGTGTCTAATGTATTTCTCCTTTCATCTAAAATGCCTGATTGTTCCATTGTACCTTCACTTAAATGCCAGTAAGAACTGGTGAGTATTTCTTTTGAATTATATTAAAATGAATACAATGAAATTTACAATACAATGAGAATTGATACATGAAATTACACTAAATCTTGTTACAGTGCAAGCTCAGTAGAGGGCCGGGAGAAGAAAAAAAACAAGCTTCTATTTGATGTTTGCAGAGCAGCCTTATGAATGTGTGTCTCATATATGTGTGTGAAGGGATGTTACATGTCTGATGTAGCTTATGCTAATTTGGACACATGTGTTTGCTGTTGCGGTATGTGTTTGTATGTGCAAACGTCGTGTGTGCACACACGCGCTGACAGATTGTTTTGTGTCCAAATGCCAGGTTAATGAATGAGGTCTTCAGTAGTGGCAGTCAGCAGGTGCCCTTGGCCATATTCACAGGAGACTGAGTGAGAAGAGGCCGGCCCAACAAGCAGGAAAAGAGAACATTGCTTCAGCGTCATTTGTTTCCATTAATGTTAAAAAAAGCCCTCTCCAAATCCTTCTCTTCGATATTTGCAAAACATGAGGGCAGAGCAATATTGTGAGCACTACATAGTGAACATATTATCAGATTCTGCATGGCTCCCCCACACACAAATGCTCGTACTACAGGAAGCCTCAAGAATACATTCCTCGTCACGACTAGGAGCCCTTGAAGGGACACACACACACACACACACACACACACACACACACACACACACACACACACACACACACAGGCTGCCTCTAAATCACACTTCCTCTGCTGGCCTCTGAGAAAGAGATAAATAGAAAAAAAATGTGATTAAAGGAAACTCCAGGAGCAAGAAAGAAACTATTTGAATGTGTATGCTGCATGTGTGTGTGTGTGTGTGTGTGTGTGTCTGTGTGTGTATGCTGCATGTGTGTGTGTGTGTGTGTGTGTGTGTGTGTGTGTGTGTGTGTGTGTGTGTGTGATGGTGGATGGTCTTTGACCCTTTCAGGCATTGATGGATGGTTGAGAATATTTGAGATGCCTCTCGGAAAACCCCGGGCAGAACACAGAGAGACATCAGAAGAGCTAATACCTCTGTTCTCTATCCTGAATACTGTATGATTCTCCTGTATGTGCGTGCACAGCGCATGAATTTAAATCAGTGGTACCAGAGATGGCTTGGAGAGGGAATATGTATTGTTTGTCTGGCATTGCAGCAAGAGGAGAGATTATGAAACAGTTTGTCTGATTAAGTATTCATCGTTTCCTGGCTGCATGCAGGACATGGTGAAAGCAAATCTGCATTAAATGTGTGTCCTTTTCTGAGTCGGTGTTTAATATTTCACACATATCCGTGCTTGAGTGTGTGTCTATGTGCATATGTGCACAAGAAAATAAAAAGAGGAGGTGGCTATATGAACAGGAAAAAAGTGTAGTAACGCATGCGTCAGAGGGTTAGGAACAGATAAATCTACTGTTGATTTCCGTCAATCGTTACTTTCAACTCATCTCAATTCAACATCAAATTTTTTTTATTTTGGTGCTTATTTCGTAACCCTGCTTTGCAGAGGCTATGTATATTTCTTCTGACAAATATGTTTTGATAGACACGTACAAAGTGCAGGACTCCAGAGCACAGGGCTAGCATCCTGAGTTGCGCATGTGGTTAAGTTTAGGCAAGATTGTGGTTTAAGTCAACTGTTAATGAAACCAGTTTCTCAAGCTTCAACTCACTTTTATCTTGATGAGACATATGGGCTTTTCGTGTCTAAACCAACCACTTGCAAGAGTGAAGGTAGGGGGGAAATGAACAGTGACCTTTGCAAATATGTTAAAAGAGACTTAGCATTGTACATCTGTAACATTGTTGGACTTGTGATGGGCAGTTTGAAAACAATTCTAAATAGATGCAGAAGTATCGTCCACGCATTCATCTTCCTTGTAAAAACATGGCTCTTACATTACCTACAATGCAACGTCAGGGTTTCCAAGCATCCTGGAAAACAGTTGACCAATTCTACAATCATTGAAAACACATGGAAAATGAAAGAACAAATCAATTGTCCTAGAAAATCTTGTGTTGAGTGGGAAAATTATTTTAACATTCTCCTATTTTCTTTTAGCTGAGAATGACCTACAAGGCTATATAGCTCTTCATCACCATGACCTTACCCTTTGTTTGTGGACGACACTGTTTAGATCTTAGCTTTACATTTAGGCCAACGCCATCTTGATTACTGCTGTCACCATTTTGTGTTCTTGCATAAGAAGTGTCACACTAGGATAGAGTTAGGTACAACTGAACACTGAGTAAGACATTATTCGGTAACCAAGAAGGTTGTAATTAAATTTAATGAACTGCAAACACACTGTGAAAGTGTCAAAGTTGTAAAGCGAAAACACGGACAACTGAATATATGTTGCCAGAGGTAGCAACCTTACAATCTCAAGCCAATCTCGAAAGCATTCCCTGCTATAAGTGTTAACATTTTGGATCTGGGAAGTCCCAACTGTTTACTCATCTCATCAACTTGCTAAATTCAGTTGGTCATTGTTTCAAAGTGGAAGTTTTTGTTTTGGGGCCATTGCTAACAACAGAAAACTACATTCAGGCTGTTTTTCACTGCTTGTTAGTCACTATCAGTGCAGGTAGAATGAAAAACACACACACACTCACTTTAATACACACACTGATACAAAAAGCCCCCGGGTGTAAAATAATCACAGCATCTATTTAAACAAGTGGACTTCCTCAGAGGGGATGAAGTTATATATAATTGATGGCTTGCAGTGGGAACAGATTCATTCATCCTCTCCTTTCTATTCAGAATTCAGCGTGCGGCAGTGTTCAATACCTCAGACTGCTCTTCTTCATCACTCTTAAATTACTCCTCGCTGGAGCATGCACACACATGGTGGTTTGTAATCCTGAAATAGTTAAATCATAAGAACCTATATGGACATCAATATTCAGTTCATGGGGGAAAAGGGGGCTTTCTACACAGGATTTATTAAGATATAGGATCTGATTGAAAGACATTGTTGGAAAGGGACTCAGGCTTGAATTGCGTTGTAGATCAACCACGTAACAGCTTATAAAAACATGATATCACACAACAATAATAAGAAACACAAGTAAACACAACCGAAGGGCCTTCAAATGAGAAATAAAAACACAAACCTGATCCTGACCTTTAAAAATAATTATATTTCCTTTTGGGCAAGTAACATTGGAAAAGAAAAACAAAGAAAAACCCATTAATTATCACTTTATTATCACTTTATTAATTATCACTTTATTATCGCATCTGATTGCATCTGTTTAAGACAGCAGTGTCACAGCAGGGATACGTCTGAATTAGTTTTAAAAAGTCAGAATTGGGATCTCAATACGTACATAACATCAATTTGCTGACAAAACTATATTGTATCTTGGGGAAAAAAAGAGTTAACAAGATAGCAAGGTGTATAATTTATTTCACTTAGTAATTTCTAATTCTTTGAATACATAAATACTATTTCATCTGGCTGAATAATAGGTCTGGCAATTTCAGATAGTGTCATTTTCAAACATTGACATTTT